TGTGACAGAAACCCACACAGACACACACAAATGACCTCTGTCAGGTCTCGGTCTGTGTGCAGGACTCCACGTGTGCATGGGGACAAGGCCTGTCCCCTGGAGGTGGCATCCCAGCAAGGACAAAGGGGCCACTGGTTCAGTGGCGCCTCACGCCGGGGCCCAGCCGCTCCGAAGGACCCTGGGGCCTTGCCCTCCCTGCTCTGGGCACCGGGCCATGTTTCTGAAGGACGCTGCCGCCCTCTGCCCCTCCGTCCTCGGAGGCCCGTGTGACATGCCCCGTGTGGTCAGTGCAGCCTCCAGGGAAAGCCTGGGCGCCAGGTGGTCTGGTCCCGAGACTCGTGTGTGGTCAGAGGCTGCAGCTCCGTCCTTGGCTGGGAGGTGGCCCACCGCCTGGAATGTGGACCGCTGCCACCACGCCCTCCTGCAGGTGCCGTCTCACATTCCCCCCTCGACGGAGTGTGTGTACCCCACTTCCTCTTGTCCTGCCCTTGCAGGGTGGCCGTCAAAGGCGTCAGATTGTGCAGGCAGGTCTCAGACGGATTACGCCTTGCAGGGCTTCACTGTTCTCAGGGGGCTGAGAGAATGAAGTGTGCCGTCAGCCATGACAAAGTGGCTGTAAAGTTCCTAAAAGTTGTGTAGTTTCGCATCAAGGGAGGCTGGATAACAAACAGCTCACCCCTGGGCAGGGGATGGGGGCTCTCCCACCCGGGGGCCTCACATGGCTGATGGTGTCTCCCGCTGAAGATGGACAGGGAGGCCGGGGCCTCCTGCACCCTGGGGAGACTCTGACAAATGACAGCTACACCCTCAATTACCTCTGAGAACAGCGAAGTCCACACACAGCGGCCTGCCCAGCGTGGCAGGTAAATGGGGCGGTGAGGGTCGGGGTCTGGCCAGGGCATCTGGGCACCAGGGCCTGAACGGCCATTTCTGGTGTCTCTGCATCTGGAACTGGGCTCCTCTGATTCTGTGGGCCTCCTCATGGACACCCCCTCCCCCTCGGGGCCGGCCAGCCACCAGGCCTTCGGCCCACACCGGGGCCCTCCCGCCGTTTTCTGGGCAGCCTTGCCCGGTGTCCACAGTGATTTGTTTTCCTTGGTCCTGCTGCTGGACCTGCTCCAGTCTCTGAGGTCCTGCCTTCTCCCTTAGAGGCATCTTGCAAACTCGCCTCAGTCTCCTGGAGCACAACAGTGACAAGGATGACCAAGAGTGGACTGGGCGGCCACCGACGCAGCCCCTTTGTGCTCCGTGGGTGGTCCTACAGGGCCATGTGTTTCAGGCTGAAGGGCCAGACTTCCCGTCCCAGAAACGTGCTGCGGGGACCATGGGGGTGGCACAGGCGGGGCTGGACTCAGACAGGTCTGCTGGGACCCAGGAGGCTGGAGTGCCACCTCTCCAGTGGACGCTGTGTGGTGGTCAAGGTCAGCAGGTCAGAGTGGCTGTGGTTCATGAGCGTCCCAGTGCTCCAGGAAAGACGTTGGGCTTTGGAGTCGGTGGGATTCATGTATTTAGTAGGTCAGCATTTCGGGCAGATGCACGTTGGGGCTGGCTTCGCTGCCAGAAGGTCATGCTCTTCAGGCATGTCCTTGGTCTGGTTTTGTCCTTGGGCGGCCCTCGGACACCGTGCACCCCCCCATAGCGACAGTGTGTCTGGCTCAAGGGCCTTAATGCTGGGGAGATGCTCTTCATGGGGACGTGCATTCATCTGGTGGCAGCACAGGAAGGTGGGTGAGCGATGAGGGGATCCCGCTGGGCCCCCAACATCCAGGAGCACAGACACGGAGAGACCAGCCCAGTGCCCCGGGACAGCGCCTTCTGCCTGCAGTGCGTGCGCTGCCCTCCGACTCCTGGACCTTCAGCTGCTCGATGCCTGAATCTCTGCTCTGAGGCTGGCCTGTGCCCAGTGGGGCCGCGGGGGTGCGGCTCCTCCTGCATCATCTCTGCCCAAGTGCCAACTCCTGCAGTTGGGAAGTCGACATATGAGTTCACATGTTCACGGACAGACGCCTCCTGTCCCCCTCCGTCCGCCCCCCGGGACATAGCTCAGCAGACGGAGTTGGGAGAAATCTGTGCGGGACATTCTGCCCTGGTCCCCAGATGCAGTGGCACAAGGGAGGGCATGGAGGTCTGTCCCCTCCTTTCCCTGGTCCCTGCCCACTCCGTCTCCGCACACCAGCCTCCTCGGGAAGGTCTCGGACTGGCCCTGTGCGTGCCCACGAGACCCTTTCCAGGGGCTTGCGCTCGTTTTTTCCCTTGAACAGAAGAAGTCAGGAAACACCCGTGCACCACCTGCTGCCGTGCCCCGTGAAGGCTGCGTTTCCTCCGCCGTGAACTCTTCACGGCCGGCGGAGTGTGTTAACGTTCTCGCGCTCCGCTGTCTTCTCCCTCGTGATCTCCATGTCAGGGAGGGACAGTGGCCGGGCCAGGGCCGCAGCACAGAGCTGGGCCGCGCTCAGAGTGCCCGCCGGAAGCGGTGAGGCTCCAGCTGAGTGGGGTTTCCCAGCCGGAAGAGACCTTCAGTGACGGCACTTTATCCTTGATCTCGTCGGCATCCGTTTTCTTGTTGCTCGGCGACTTTTGGAACCTGTTTCCCTGCTGCTGTCTGAAGAACCCCCGGACCCCCAAAGTTCTCTGGCTCTGACTCTCGCGCCCCAGGGCCCCGTGTCTCCCAGCCGCCCTGCGGGACTGGTGTCTGCTCCCTGCTCCCAGTGCGTCCCTCCTCAGCTCCCAGGGAGCTGCCTCGGGAAGGGGTCTCGGTGCCCTTACTGCCGAGTGCTGCGCTGGCCTGGTGGACGGTGCTCGCCACCACGGCGGCTACGTGGGCCACCTTCTCCTCCTCGGCCGGGGTGAGCCCACGCCTCCCTGCCTCTGCCCCCACCTCTGCTCACTCCATCCTGTCCTCGCGTCCTGCACCCCTCTGTCCGGATGCCATCGTCCTGCACGTGCCCACCCTCCCCGCCCCCCCCTCACCCCCGCCCTGAGAGCATTAGTCACACACCGGGCTTTCCTGGCTGGGGAGGCTGATGCACACCCCCCCCCCCACCCCCTGACTCTGTTTCTCAGCCAGAAATTGCCTCCGGCTTTTAGAGCCCTCTCTCCATTCGCCCCCTCAGCGGGGTCACTTTGGGTGTCCAACAGGCAACTGCAACTCGACTGTTCGAACCCAAGCCCCTGTTCAGACACCCCTCCACACCAGGATGCCGGGCCCCAGAGTCTGACCCTCCGGCTCCCCATACCCTCCCCTGCCATGAGCCACCTGGCAGTGTGGCCAGCCTGCTCCCATCTGCTCTTGTTCACGGCCTTGGTTTCAAACTCACAGCTGCAGCGGGGGCCCAGACCTCTGGTGTCTCCTGTCTGGACCAGTGCAGTAGCTCACTGACCTATTGTGTGCCTCCCGTCCCCGCTGCCCTACTGTGCGGCATCACAGAGGGTCTCTCTGGCACGTTCCAGTTCTCACCTTCCACCTCACCTGTCCTGTTCATGGTGAAGCCCGGGCAGCACCTGCTTCTCTGTCTCCCCCCTCCCCTCCCGAACTGTGCGTACACATCTGGGAATCCACCCCTTGCTCCAGCTTCCCCGACTCTGTGTGTCATGGTCCTGGACTGTCCCCATCCCCTCGTTGCAACCCCATGTGGCAAATTCATATTCTTCCCACCAGCAGGGGAAGGTCCTGCTTCCTGAAGGCAGCCTCCCTGGGCTGAAGTCCAAGGTCCGTGCCTGCTCCCCACTGCTCCTGCCCTTCACATGCTCTCGTGTTAGCTCAGGAGTCGATGGGGGGGGGGGCAGAGAGAGGCTGTGGCTCATTCCTGGCATCGCTGTCACGCCACACCACGTCCCCTGTCCTCAGCATCTAACCTGTGCCAGGCTCAGACCTTCCGGGTAACCTTGCAGGAGAGCGCTGTGCCTCATGCCTGTGAGCAGCCCGCGCCATCGTGCCCACGTTAGAGATGAGCAAACCCAGGCTCAGAGGGGACGCGAGCCGCCCGAGGCGGTCTGCTCTGAGGCCAGCAGAACCTGAAGGCAGCGTCCCCCGGAGCCTGTGCCTGCACTGTCCCTCCGAGGGCACAAGTGGATCAAAAATGTCCCTGAGTGACTGGGGTCAGGTGGAGGGTCCTGTAAGGGACGAGCTGGCAGAGTGCAGGGGCCTGGAGGAGGCCGTGGCGTGTGAGCGGAGGGAGCCCTGCTCCGTCTCTCCCTGTGGTGAGTCTGGGGAGCTGGCACTCAAATTGGTTTTGTTGTGAAAAGTAGTTCAAGTTTCAAACCTCTGAATTTGTAGGTGCACAAGATGAGTGAAAACTCTGGCACATGTCAGTGTTTCTGTGCATACTGGGAAATGCGTGTTCATGTGTTTTATATTTACACACCCACAGCACTCTGTCTTACCCACGGAGGACACGGCACCTGTGTGTAGTGTTTTCTCCTATACACACGGCCTACACTCATGTTTAGTTTATAAGTTAGGCACAGTAAGAGTGTAACAATGAGAATTGATAACGAAATAGGTTAGTTATAACGAGACACTGTAACAAAAGTTATGTGAGTGCAGTCTCTCTCCCAAAATACGTCACTGTGCCCGACCTTCCGCGTGGAGGGGCTGGACAGGGGAGACTCACGGGCCGGAGGGGGATGGAGCGGCACCGTGCGAGATTTTGTGACACCACTCAGAAGAGCATGCAGTTTAAAACTTGCGAATAGTACATTTCTGGAACTTTCCACTTACTGTTTTTGGACTGTGGTTGACTGGGGGTATCTGAAGGCACAGAGAGTGCGGTGGTTGATCGGGGTGGGCTGCGGTGTGGTTGTGTTGTACGCGTATTTGCAGAGATACCCATGCTCATGTGTGCAAACCACATCGCAGCAGATGTGACCTCCCCATAGTGCAGCATCTGACTGTCTCCAGGTGTCAGCTGGCAGCATGTGTCCTTGAGAACGATGTGTCGCACTGGGGAACCAACCCCAGCAAACACCAGCTGCTGACTGGCAACCCCGTGTCCCCGCAGACTGCAGAGAGATCCTGCTGCCCATGATGACCGACCAGCTCAAGTACCATCTGGAGAGGCAGGAGGACCTGGAGGCCTGCTGCCAGCTGCTCGGTGATGTCCTGGAGGTGCTGTACAGGAGGGACGTGGTGAGTAGGGCACTCGGCTGCCCACCGGGCTGCCCAGAGTGCGACTGTGACTCCCGCGTGTCCCACCTGGGGTGCGCAGGCTCCGCGGTCCGCGGTCACTCCAAAGGAACGGCCTTGGTTGTGTGGGTTTTCCACTCTCTCTGTCAAGGTGCACCCTCAGATTATTTTTATTTATGTGTGAGGTGTGCTGACTATATTACAGGGTTTATTCTTCCACACCAAACATATCTAAGTGTCTTTCCTAAAACTTCTCAGCTAAATGCCTCTGAAGACTCAGATTTTAATTCTTAAAGTCAGGACAAACCTTGCTGTTGAGAGCGGGGAGTGAGCAAATGGACGCTGTTCACCTGCACTCTTTCTCTCGATTCTTATTCTGTCAAAGTAACACATACACGTGGGGTTTTTCCCAGTCACCGGTGTTTCCGCGAGTCTGGGGAAGAGCAGCGCTGTGCCCACTCCACCGGGGTCCCCTCCCCTAACCCATCCCTCCTGACCTCCGACACGTTCCCGGTCAACACGCACGTTCACCTGTGCTGCCCACGTGTCCTGGCCCCAGCTCATCCTCCCAGAGCCCGGTCAGTGCCCTTGTGGATCAGGCTAAATTCGGCCCCAGCGGCGATGGCCATCCAGGCGCAGGGCCTTCGAGAGGCTTTGGAAGCCGTCACCCAAAGGGCAGCCTCCAGTGGTTCCAGTCCAGGGCCCAGGTGCCCCTGTTTTCACAGGAGATAATTTGGCAGGAAAGGGCTTGTGTGGCCCGACCTCACACAGCAGCTGTGGCCTGGCCTGGCCCCGTGCGGAAGTTACTTATTTAAACACAGACACACGAGGAAATTCCCATTCGCAGCCAGTCCTACGGCTCTGTGGGTTTCAGGTGGCTTGCTGAGACGGCGTGCAGACGTCCCGCTCCGTGAGCTGGGTCCCCAAGTTGCTGGCGTTGACCCACAGAGCCTTCCAGGGTGCCACCCGCCTGCCTTCCTTACAAAGGGCCGGCGTCGCCAGAAAACTAATTGGCGGGCTAATCGGGGCTCATAAACATTATGTTGTTTAAACAGATCTGCTTTCATTTTTAAGGTTTACTCGAATTCAATTACTATGATTATATAACAAATTATCATTAATGGGCTCTAATTAATAAAATGGCTTGAATTTTCTTTGTGAGGGCTTTTGCCTTTGACAGGGACCATTTTTCATCTCATAAGGGTTGCTCATCGATTGGACTTCGTGACAGCCACCGGGGCGGGCGTGGTAGTGGGCGTCCCGGGCGCCGGCCCTCACCCGTGTGTCCTCCCGCAGGGCCCGACGCCGCGGCACGTGCAGATCATCATGGAGAAGCTCCTCCGGACCGTGAACCGGACTGTGATCTCCATGGGGCGTGACTCCGAACTCATCGTAAGTGCTGGGCCTGGCCGGGCTTCGCTGTGGCCAGGAGCCCCTTTCCCAGGAACAACGTTCCTTCTTTCCCGCCGGACGTCCAGCCGGCCCTTCTCCGACCGTCTTTGGAAACTCGGCCTCCACGTACGGATGGGGTGCTGGGCGTGTGTTTACCTTTTAAAATGGGCTCATTTTCCACCACTTCAGAAGCAGGTATCGAGATTGGCGGGTGAGCCAGCCAACATTTCAGAGATGAGAGCGTCCGGTTCTATTTTGTTACCACTTACATTTAGCGAAGGGTGTGCGCGTTCTTTGCCGTGCTTCTTCTTCGGGCTGTTCCTTTCCGCGTATTTGCACTTATAACGCCGTGAATAAAGTTTTTTCTGACAGACCTTACGAACTGGTGGAGGTGCTCTAACTCAGCTGTTTTATCTTCACTCTGACGTGTTGTAGACGTTTCTCCTATACGGATCACCGAGGCAAGAAATGGCATTTTTAAAAAAATTTGTAAGACTAAGAAAACTTGTATCGTGGTGCTTTCATCCCAAAGTTCACTGCGTCTCTCCTCACCCCCGTTATTCTTTGGTTCGATTCCTCTGGCAGAAGATGCACACAGAGTTGGTTTTCTTTCTTCCTTTTCCGGTACCTGCTACTGTTTAATGAAGTTTCTTCATTGGCATTTCCAACTCCTCATGAAAGAACAGAACATGCCGCCAGTTGCCACCGGCTGTCGATTGGCACAGTTGTCGTCCTCGTGTGGTTTTAACTGTCCCTACACATCCTCCGAGTGGACAGAGCGAGGTGGCCCAGCTGTGTCCCTCTGACCATGAAGCAGGGACGCGGTATTGCCCTTGGGACGGTGTCACATGGTGGACGGAATGGCGTTTGGCTTCCTGTCCCCCTTCTAAGCCCCTGTGGGGATGGGCTGAGTCGGCCGGGCTGTGGACACACAATCGATGCCACCCACGGGGCCACGGTGAGCGCGTGGCGGGCTCCCAGGTGAGGCAGCGCTGCCTCTGGTCAGGGGCTGTGCTCCTAGAGTCAGGGCCTGCTGGCCAGCAGTTCAACTGGGGGAGGTGGTGGGGGAGCCCCTAAATGTTGGCACGGGTCCTTGGAATTGGAGAGATTGTAACCTGTGCTCACAGCTTAGTCAGTAGATGTCACGCAGGTGGCACAGAGTGTGGCGTCTCTCAGACCGTGGCGTTTGGAGGCGTGTGGGAATCTCTCACATCTTGGGCAGAAAGGTTACAGTGGCATTGATGAGAGCTGCCCCTCACCAAGCCCTCGTGTATGTGCTGGCCGCTGTGTGTGTGCCTCCTGTGTGCACCAGAGACCCACAGGAGGCTTCCCAACACCACAGAAAATGCCCCGCAGGGATGAGACAGTGCTCTGCGTCCTGTAGCCGGCCCGGCAGCTCTGGTGTGCAGCCAGGTTTGGTGCCAGCACCGGCCACGCTGTCCCTTATGAAGGGCGGAGGCCACGGACGTGGGCCTCAGCGGGGCTCCAGGGTTTCTGAGAAGACCCTGGGACACGCCCAGGCCGACATCCCCAGTAGGAGAGCGGCCGTCCAGGGTCCAGGCTGGGAGGCACCTCTTCAGGGTCACCAGCAGTCCCTCCCGTGGGCCAGAGCCTGGGACAGCCCACAGGTGGGACGGTCAGACCAGGAGCTGGGTGCCTAGTGCCTGAGGGCTTAGAGGCAGTTGTGTGGTTCCAGGGACCCTTAGGGCATCCTTGGGGACAGTTCTGGCACTTCCTGAGGAGGGTTATGACAGTGAGGACCCGCACCAGTCCCACCCAGTGGTGCCTCCCTCCTGCTGAGTAGTCGGCCCCGGCCCAGGCAAGCGGCCCACGTCCGGGCCCGCTTCCCACAGCGCCCACCTCTGCAGCAGAAGTCTCGGGAGCAGGGAGTGGATCTGGGCCCCAGTTCTGACCCCGAGCTGATGCCTCCCGACTCCAGCACCACCAGTATCTGTCCCCGGAATCTGGAGTCTCCATGTGTCAAAGCAACTAGGCTGTTCTGGGAGAAATCTCAAAAGCCAGCTCTGCATAATCCCTGACTGCTGCACGGGCAGTGCCAGCCTCACGATGCTCTCAGGTCGGGCGTGCGCCGCTGAGAACTAGAACTGCTAAGAAGGGCCTTCCAGTCACCACACATCCCTCGTGGTGGCCACAGGGTGGGAAGATGCTCCCTTGCAGGCTGGGCTCGACCTTGTGCCCGACCTTGAGCTCGTCTGTGGGTTTAGGCCCCAGCTGCTCCTGGTCGGTGCAGCCGCTCTGTGCACGTAGGTTAGAGGGAGACGTGGGCCGGGGGAGAAGTGTCCCTGAGGAGGGGACAGCAAACTTGACCAGCGGGCTCCTGGAGTGGAAGAGCCCAGGATATGGCAAACGGGCCTGTCTGGGGGGTGGCCCTGACGCCCCACGTGTCACCGAGGTCTCTGTCCCGATGTGCAGGTCGCTCCCTTGTGCGTCAGTGGAAGGGAAGTGGCGTCGCTGCGAGTCAGCTCCCAGGGCCCAAGTTACCCCTGAAAACGGCTGCAGAAACGACGGCGGTAAAAATGTTCCCTTGTGAGGGACTCCGCGATGTCGGCAGCAGTCGCCCCAGAACCGCGGCCTCTGCCCCCCGGGGGCTGGTGGTGGGCAAGGCTGTCCGGGTCTGGCACGTCCCTGTCTCCGCGTGTACAGGACGGAGGAGTGGGGCTCCCAGCACAAGCCTTCGGAGTATCGGGGTCGGGGGAGTTCTAGGTTCCCCGCCGCGTGGTGGCTGTGCACCCTTTCTCTCCGTGCATTTCCTTCCAACACTGTATCCGAGCTGGGTGATCGGCACACATCTCGTGCTCGGGAGAAAGATGGGCCTCAGTCCCGAGGATCACGTGTGCATTTTGTAACAAATAAAACTCCCTCGGCAGGTGCAGGAATGGGGCAGGGAGCAGGCCCCCCCCACCACCGGCAGAGAGGCCCCTCGGGCACCTTGCCACACGATGAGGAAGCCGTTCCCTCCTTGTTCAGAGCAGTCGGGCCGGTGGAATCAGCAGTGAGGGGCTCCCGTTTGCGTTGTCCGACTTGAGAGTTTATTTTTCTCTTCCCGTGTGACAAGGGCCCCAGGCCCCCAGTGGGGGCAGCTCTCTCAGCCTGCGGGTACGTTCGGAGCAGGCGGTCGTGGTGGGTTAGGCGCTCTCCTCTGGGCATGTGCCTACGTCCCCGCCCCATCCCCATCCGTCCCCGTGTGGGCGACTTGGCTGGAACAGCCCTTGTCTGCAGGGCGCCTTTGAGAGCCCGGGAAATGGGTAACACAGGAACAGTCCTTCTGTGGTACTTAGCTGCTGCTTTCAAATGATCAGATTTACCTTCTGTTAATGGGTCATTTAAAAATGTAATTGAGTGAGAAGGACTTTTAAAGATTTTTCTGTGGCCTGGTTACACCCCAGAGAACTTAAAATTACCAATTCACTGAAAGGAAAATGGGGGTCTCTCGAAGGAGACGTTCCTTCGAAAATTCCCAGAGGCAGGCTGGGGGTGGGAGGCTCCCCGCCTGGCTCCCCACTTGTCTCATGACCTCCCGACCTCCCAACCCCCTCGGCTCAAGTGCAGGCAGGTCTGTTTCCACTCGCAGCACCACCTGCTAGGGCCACGGGTGGGGTGGGTTTCCTCGTGACTGCAGCGTCCTGGGTGGGGAAGACACCATCTGTGAGAACCCAGCGCTGTCTTTGAACTTGGCTGACTCACACAGAGCCACAGCTTCCTCACTGGGGAGAGCGTGGTAAGAAATGGCCTCTCGGCGAACAGAGCCCTCTTCCCAAGACTCGTCACCAAATATTTTCACGATGACGTCTCCACGCAGGACCACTCATTGTGCACTGTCTATTCTGATGGGGTCCCTGGAGCAGTGTGCTTTTGAGAAAAAAAATGCTATTAGTATTATTTGCAAAAGAGCGTGATACATTATAAAGGTTTCAGACGGACAGCGTCTGGGTTTTCTGTGCTGGTGCCATCCACAGCATCCCTGGCGGCAGGCCGGGTAATAAATCTACTTACAGAGCATGTGGCTTTCAGGAAACCGCCTCACCCGGGTGCACCTGTCAGCTGCGGTGCCTGCAAATTCACTCTTCTTTGGTGTGCGTGCAGCGGTTCTCCCTGCCTTCCTCGTAGGCCTGTGGCCCTGGCGTTCTTTCCAGGGAAGGTCACTCACTGAAATCACTGCAGAGGAAATGAAAACCGCCAGGTCGCTGCCTGAGTGAGACAGGCTGCAACCCTCGTACATCCCTCCCGGACGCGAGGGTGCCCTGCCCTGACGGCCCAGCTGCTCAGCAGGCTCCGGGCGCCTTCACAGGGTCCTCTCCTCTGGGATGCGTGCCTCCGCAGGGCGCAGTGAGTCAGCGCTGACCCACAAAGCCGGATGGTGTGTCTGAGCCTGATCGCGCTTCCTCCCAGTAAAGGAGCCTGAGGCACGGGGCGGGTGGGGGGGGGCTTTCAGCCCTTTGTCTCGATAAGGGAAGGTGGTCCCTGTGCAAAGCTGCTCCCCAAAGCTGCCTGGCTCAGTGAGCAAGTTGCTGCTAAACCTGCTCCGGAAAACTCGGCCCCCAGTGGGGAGGAGCTCTGGGCCCCAGCCCTGTGTCCTTCTGGTTCTCACCATCTCTAAGGAGAGGCAACAAGCAAGCGGCCCCGCGTGGGGGGGTGTGCTCTGAGCTGTGACCCAGGGCTGTGCGTCCGTCCCCTTGCACCAGAGGCAGCTCCCCGAGGAGGGCGGCATGCGAGGCAGGGCCCTTGTTCCTGCCCCAGATTGGGGGCAGCCTGACCCTGGCCTGGTCACTGCAGACCTCAGGTCTCCATGGCAACGGATGCCTCGGCACCCTGGCAGGATGTATGGGAAACTCCTGCCGACTTCCTGGGCTCTTTCAGAGGTAGTAGGGCCCTCCCGCCCTTGCTCCCTCCTGTTCCTGCTCTGTGGAGCTCGGGGAGGGTCTGAGGTCACAGGGGCAGGGCACAGGTCCCCACCGCTCCTCAAGGCCGGTGACACGCTGCGGCTCGGAGTCCTTTGTCGTGTGGAGTGGCTGGGAAGAGAGCCTCTGCAGCAGCAGGAGGTGGCTCACGGCAGTTACAGAATCGGACCCTGGCTGCTGCGGGGGGTGCACTGGGTCCCGCACCCCAGTCCGCACCTGAGCCACACTCCTCCCCAAGGAGCGGCCAGCGCAGTGGGAGCCTCGTCTCAGCCGCCAGTGGCCCCTCATCCTCGCAAGCAGACCCTGGTCTCACAGTGACTGGGGAAGAGGGTGCGGGTCTTCCCCGTCCTGGGCTTCCAGGCAGAACTCCTCCTGGGAGAGGGCTCAGCACCAGGCTGGTCTCTACATGAGAGGTGGGCTGCTCAGCCAGGCTGAGCTGTGGGTGTCCCAGCCAGGGGAGGGAGGAAGGGAAGGGGTGGCAGGTCCCCTGGGGCTGGGGCTGGGGCCTCATGGAATCTGGGTGCTTAGAGAGAAGCTGTCTCTATGGGGCCTCGGACACCGGGGTGCGGTTGTCTGAGGTTCCTCACAAACTGGGTATCGGTTAGTCAGTCAGTGACCCTCCTGTGGGCCTGTGTGGTGGGTGCCGTGTCCTCCAAAAGCCACCCCAGGGTGTGTGGTCTGCTGAGCCCAGTCCCAGGCAGAGTTGGGCCCCACCCCATGCTCAGCCGGGCCACCCAGTGGGTTGTGCCCCCGCCTCGGGGTGGTCTTGTCTCCCGGAGCCTCGGTGAGGCGCCCCCCAGCGGCGCTCCCTGCCTGGGCCGTCTCGAGTCCCCGCGGCGACGGACAGAGTTCAACAGCCACACAAAAGGGGCCTTTCATTCTTTTATTTAAAAATTAATAAAGAACTTGGTGACAAGTATAGTAACTTAATCGCTACACGTGATGCCATGGGTACATGTACATATGAGGGACACTGTACTTTTTACCTTGATTTTTGTATCAGCGTTGGTACAGAAATCTTTCTAAGATGAGAAACGTCACCTGTTAGTGATGCGTCGCCATTAAACTATGAAACGCCTTTGGAAATAGTTTCCGTTCTGAAGACAGTTCTTTAAAAATGGGAATGAGTCTATCTCCAGTCTCCCTTTTGGACTCTGAAAATGTGTTTATTTATTTTTGTCTAGACTGCGTTCATCCAGGGACGTTATTTTGTTTACTAGGGTGTCCCCTTGTGTAGGCAGATTTATAGAACTAATTAGAAAGCTGCTTATACCCTTATTTCAATTTTCATGGAGAGAGTTGGGAATTCTTAAAACACAAGGAGAGATAACTTGTCGCAAACATTTTTGTGTGACTTTAGTTAAAAAACAGTAGAAAATACACGAAATGCGTTTTTTAAACTTCACGGTGGCACGAACAATGGCACTCCCTCCCTGGGACGGGCTTATTGCGTTCATCTTTCTCTGCACAAAATGACTTCTCAACGCTTTGTACGGGTGCCCAAGGACTTGCATCCTTGCCCAGTATCTCCACAAAAGATGCGTGTTGTTCTCTGAATGAGAGCGTATGTCTGTGGCATAGCTTGACTGACCCCTAGAGAGTGTGTTCACACGGGAGTCTTCTCATCTATGTCAAGTTCGGACCTGATTGCCGATCGCCACCAGGTCCTTGTAGAATCAAAACCCTCGGAACTACAGCAGACGGGCTGTTCAGTCAGGAGGAGTGTGCCGGGCAAGAAACCGTTCCTCTCTGCCCCACGGAGGTGGGGGTCTCTCCAAGGGGCGCCACGGTGGCCTCTGCTCCGTGACACGTGTCAGTGCTACATTAGATGTGAGACTCTGGACAGAAACATGGAGACTAGGTTTTCTCCCATGTTCACAGACTATTCAAAATTTAAGTCGTAGAAAAAAAAAAAAGGCAAAACGAGGTCCCTACTTCCTATTGTGAAAAACAACAATTGATAGACAAAGTTCAGTCATAGGCCAGAGGGGTTTGGTTTCTATAAAAAGATACTTGTTGCAAAGGAATGAGTGAAAAAATAAAGGAACTAAAATTTATATTGTAATGTGTAATCAAAAGAGAACTCAAGTGTCACTGCTTGTTTAAAAAATACCTAAAAACACTTGATTCACAGCTTCCCTATCACTCCATGAGTACAGCCCATCCTCAGCTCACTGTGGGTGGCCCCGAGAGTGACAGTGGCAGCTAAGCAGGACACACTGTTTCTCTTGGAGGTGGTCGGGTCTCCCCGGTTGTCACAAAGCTCAACAGAGTGTGCAAAACCCCTCCCTGCATTCAGGGTAATGACCAGGGCTCCCCGGTCAGCCCACAGAGACATGCCTGTGACAGGTTGGTGACTGTGTTATCCTTCGCGTATCTCTCTGTGTGTTTTGGAATTCTCACCAGAATGTATCATTTGGCCTTTGGGTATCAAAGGATTAAAAATGAGATCTAAGAAAGCTGAGCGTCCAATAGTTCTGACCCTGTCGACTTGCGGTGATTGAAGGCATGTCCTGACTGGGGGGGACTGTTGGCTGCTGGCCACCGGGACATGAGCAGTAGACATGTCCCAGGTCTGAGATGCGGGGGGTGCTCCGTCCGAGGTGTCGGCGCAACGCGGACGTGGGGTCACTTGGCGTAGCGTTACAGCACAGGAGGGCAGACACACACAGAGTCACGTTTGAGAGAGGAGGCGTGGTCTCCGACCACTGGAAAAAATTGTGCTTTCTCCGGAATTGGATGTGCTGCAAACTGCACTCGCCCCCTGCTTATTTGCAAAATGAGATGTAAAAATGAAGTTCTTTGCAAACGTAAGGCTTGCGTTTTCTTCTCATTGTTTCTTTAAAAAAATAAAGGCTTGAAAATAACCACGGGCTCTCAGCTGTGTGCAGGTGACGGTTGGTGAGTAAGACCTGCCCGTCCGGGCTGCGGGCAGGGTGCTTCCGGGGCCTCTCCGACTACGTGGAACTCCGTTTCGGATTTGACGTCCGCGTCCGTCCGCACACTGCAGGGGACAGCTGGCAAGTTGCGGCCCCGGTGACAGCTTCTGGTGACGGTCAGTGGGCGCAAAGGCCTTTTTGGTAGCAGGGGAGACTCTGGGGCGCCCGAGTCAGCCCCCGTCCCCTTGCTTCTGTCTCTCGGGGAAAGGGCGGACTTGTCCCCAGTGGGTGTGACAGACGGGCTCGGAGGGCAAGCCCCGCGAGCGTTAAAGGAACCAGAGTTTCCATCGCCCGTGCTTTTTGGATTCCGTTTTGGATTTTTGCTTGGGAGTCGAGGAGGCAGTCTCCTGCGAGTAAGGCGAGGGTGCGACCTGAGTCTCCTCCAGCGAGTGGAGCTCCCTCAGGACGGGCTGCAGTTTGTCTTCCTGCTGCTTGAAGTCCAGCTCCACACTAGAAGGGAAGGAGAGGGACGGGTTAGTGCTCGGCCCTTCGTATGTGAAGGTCCCCTTCGGGGACACAGAGTCTGGGCGACCTCCCACCAGGGCCAGCCACCATTCCTGTCGTGTTTATGCAGTAAATCCGCAGCTCCGTGGTAAGGCACCAGCTAGAGTACATGTTAGACCCGTGTCCTGGAGAACGGCACTTGACCCTTGTGCCACATGGGGGTCAAGGGTACCGGTCCCCCTCGTAGTTGAAAATCCTGCATATGACTTTTGACTCCCCGAAACCTCAACTCCTTACTCATAACCTGCAGTTTCCCAGAAGCCTCACTGATAACACAGTCCCTGGACACCCATTTCGTGTGCCGTGTGGCTTTCATGCTGGTGAGCGAGAGAGAAGGAAGTGCTATTTAAAAAGCATAAGGAAGAGACAATGTCTCTGTGTATTTCTTGAAACACAAAAAGAACCCTGATGAGTTCAAACCTGTGTTGTTCAGGGTCGACTGCATTTCGAACAGGTTTATTGTCTTGGGAAGGTAACTTACTTGCTTTCACTTTGAACCTCCGAAGGTTCGTCCTTGCACCTGTTGGTGTCCGAGTGTGTACAGCCATGCATGGTGACGTGTCGGTCGGCAACGAGCCACGTTCATGGTGGCAGTGGTCCACCAGACGGCAGCGAACATTCCCACAGCCTAGTGACGTCCTAGCCTTCGTCACGTCTGGGCACCACACACTTCTCGAGTGTGTGCGGTGACGATGGCGTGAACAGTCTGCCCGGCCCGGCCCGTCATATAAAACAAGTGCATCACCCACAACCATGCACAGTCCACGGTGCTTGGGAATGGTGATGAACAACCGTGTCACTGGCTTGGGATGTCCCACGCCGTTCTTCCCACGCCGTTTTGGAAGGCGTGCTTGCTCCTTACGAAGAAAGCGCTTCCTGCGAAGCGGCAGTGTGTTGCTCCGGCAGCAGCCTCACCCGCCTCGTGATGCTCCTGCTGCGGCCTTTCCTCTGCTGCTGGGTTTCACCTCGTGGTGTTTGGTGCGGAGCGCGCCATCGAGGCTCGGAGCCCGGGACCGACAGGCTGGACCGCTTGGCCTCGGCGGGTGGCGGGCTGGGCCACTGGGGCGCGTCCACTGTGCACTGTGGTGTCCGCACCACAGCACAGGGGCCCCTCGACACGCTCGCCATACCGCATCCCCGTCACAAAGTGCTGCGTGACAGTGACATGTTGAACAGAAAAATGCGGCACACGAGTCAGCCTCCGGCTTGTCTGCAGACCGCACGTGGCATTGACACTGAGGAGGTCACCAGAAGTCTCAGCGTCTGGGAGTCACCTTGGCTCGTGCCAAGTCTCTGAAAGCTCCATCTGTGCGCAGCTTTTCACAAGATCACAGAAGTCCCGGTTTCCCCCCAAAACAGTCCAGACAGGAAAGGGGCTTGAGGACGGTCTGTTTGTAAAGTCTGGCCTGTCTACACACGGGTGCCGCTGCAACCCCCAGGATGGGGACAGCAGGGCGTGCTCCCCGAGTTCGCTGCCCAGAGCATGTTCCTCGGTCGCTGCCAAGGGCAGCTCTTCAGGCAGAAGCGTGGTGTTTGCTGGAAGTGACCTGGACTTATCATTACGTTGCTGAGGCCTGTGTGCACACGCGTGACCACGCACGCATGAGGACCTCTGACACTGCGTTGGAACGATGGGATGGAAGACATTATTCCAAGTATGTGCTGTTTTTTATGAAATTTCTCCGAAGAAGGGCCACTTGCCCGGAGTCTCCCCTTCTCTTCTCTGCCATGAAAGGTCCACTGTTGACCTCCCAGCCGTCACCAACTCTGACCACTCCCCTTGGCTTTGGGAAGCGACCCCAGGCCCAGTGTCATTTTTCCGGGATGACCCGGGCCTCAACAAGCCCGGCGTCTTTTCTGCGCACCTCCTCGGCACCCTGCACTGAATCTGACGCCGCATCACACCAGGCTTCCCAACCGTTCTGTTCCGTGCCCCTTCCGTGTCTGGTCTGGATGCCAGGCTAAATGTCAGTAGGTTCACTAAAGGTTCAGCGCCAACGATAATACACGAGCTCATAACATTTCCTATCTAGGGAGCCGTAAACCATTTATAAACATGAAGTCCTATTGATTTAGAGGACCATTAATCCTAGACAAATTTTGACATTTTGGAAAGACAGAACAGCCAAGCTGCATTATCTGGAGTTCTAAGAACAAGTTCAAGACCCATCTAATGGACCATTTTATGTTTCATACCCACAGTTCCGTTTTTCCTATTGTCAAAGACTCTAATATTATGGAAAAAATTAAAAATGCTGTCAAGAAGTTTATGGCCAGTTGCCTTCTGCTCCCAAAACAAAGATTAGCGTCTCCCTTCCTTCCCAGCGGGTCACCTGCGAGTCACGCTGCAGGTCAGGGATGGCGGCAGCAAACCTCAGGAACTCACGTCAGGCTGATCCAGGACACGTGGGGAGGGAGGCGCGGTGCCTCTAGGAACAGCGGGGGGCAGTGCCGCATCCGTGAGCACTCCCCTCGGCTCTGTCAGCTGGGGCTGTGGAGAGGCAGGCTCCTTCTCCTCCCCGGACCTCGGGGGCAGAGCGGGCTCAGAGGAGTCCCTCATCCCGCTAGAGCTCAGTTTCCTTCACTCCAGGGGATGAATTTCATCATTACTGCCCTGACCACCTCACTGAGTGAGCTGAGGATCTCCCCTCCACCCCTGCTGGAGGTCGGTGGAAGAGTTTTCTGAGCTATTAGATGGAATTCAGACGTTATTTCATCTGTGTTATCAGCTGGCCATCAGTTTTGTAATGGGAAGAAGGGCCAACAGTGATCAAGATAATACCAATAAAAGGACCCTTCCCCTTGGATGTTTGACAAGAAAAATGAGCCCCTTGCCCTGGATCCTGTGAGATGCTGCATCCAGTCTGGTACGTTAGGGACCACGATGGTTTTGTCAGGGTATGTGGTCAGTATCGAGAGGGCGCCCTGCAGACCACAGCCATGCCAGAGTCCTGGAGAGGGTGTGAGCTTGATATCGGATCGGAGGGCAGGTGCTGGCGCTTCTTAGGCTAACACCACAGGCTGCGTACCTGTAATTATTGACTTCCCATTAGCAAGTGCGTCTGGACTACTGTCCTTAACCGATTTATCTCGCCGGGAACCACATAATCACAGGGAAATCTAATCTGGGCTCTTGTTAACAGAAGGATGGACTCAGCTCGACCTGTCGAGCTGATTTCTGCTTGCGCTCCTCCCTGAGGTGACAGAGAGGCAGCAGCCTGGAGGGCGGGTCTTCAAGGAGGAGCGTGTGTGGGGCGAACGCCTGATGGGAAGCACCTGTCGTGGGTCGCAAAGCCACCCTGCGCTGTGCGCCCCCTCCCCTCTGTAACTTGCAGGCGGCCGTGCCCACTCTGGGAGGAGGCGTGTGCCCTGGCTGGCGCACTGTGCACACCGCACCTGGCCCTCGGTGGGGGGACAGGGTCTGCTCTGCGTTCTGCCGGGCGGCTTTTCTCACAAGGGCAAGAACATACGTGGTCACCGGGCTGCATGCAGAGCGGATGGCTGGCCAGAGAGGGTGATGTCCGGGGGTTGAGAGTGTGGCCCCCTCTGGCTGACACAGAGCTGAGGTCCCCTCAGTCTCAGCAGCCAAATGGCCAGGAGAGAGCAGCTGCAGTCCGGCTCAGAGCAGAGGAATGAAGGTGGACAAAAGCCACTGGGGCCCCCTCTTCTGTGTTGCACGTAGCAGGTGGTTAGTCCAGTGGGACCCGGGGTGGGTGGGGGGTGCTGTCTGGCCGAGAGGAGACCCACTCTGGGTTTTACCACTGATCTCCGATTGACCTTGGGCTTGGGGACAGGCCTTCTGCACACTGCCTGGTCCACCATGTGGCTGCCCCTGCTGAAGAAGTCGCTGCTCTCTTCATGGCTGTTACTCTGTCCCTTGCGGGGACACCTGTGCTGGCTCATGGAAGGTCTGGCTGGCCACTCCTCACCCCTGTGCCCCAGGAGCATTTTGCTTCCTCGTTTTCTGGCCGCCTTCTGAATGACCCTTCACTGTCTGGTGTCCCTCTCGTCCCTCCTTCTCGGCACTCACCACGAGCGATTCCGTGTCCCCATGTTTTTTCGCCTCCCTGCCCCGAAATGCAGTTAACCAAGGACGGTGCTGCCTGTGCCCCAGCTCCGACGGCAGGGCCAGACTCCCGGCTGAGGCCTCTGCAAAGTGGATGGGGGCCACAGTGCCAGGTCCCGCGCCAGGCGAGGCTGAGTCAGAAAGACAAGCCCTGTGGACAGTCCCTGCCCGTAGTACTTCCCGGGTCAGAAAGGGACCAAGGTCACTTACAAGAGTGACACGTGTATTAAGCACGTCTTACACCACAGTCCTCGTGGGCCACGAAGAGTACACATTGTCATCAGAAGTGGCCACTCACTACCGCATGTCACCTGCTGGTTCGCTGCCGTCCCTGGCCTCAGCTAAGAGCACACGGCTTCTAGTCTTTGGTCAGGAAGTGTATTGTGGGAGCTTCCTACTTAACAAGCAAAGGTTGGGATGTGACCCCCGGTAATGATTCATTAGCGCCCGAGGCCAGCTGCGTGGCGGCCTTGATGAAGCAGAGGAGAGGCGCTGTCTTCCCGAAGGGCACAGTCGCTGCGGGTCTTGTAACTAACGGTAGGGATTCTGACATTTCACGGGGATGTTTTAAATTCTGGCCGAGACCCGGCTGATTACTCTGAATCAGCAGTACTGTTGTCCGTTACATCCTGCTTCCAGTCCCTTCCGAATCGGGAGGCTGGCGCTCGCCATTCTCATAGAAACGTCAAGTCTGAACCCAGGCCGTTCCGCTGCAGCCTTTTTTAAAACAGTAACCGCCTCAGTGAAGGGGGGCGATGTCTGGGTTCCTGGTGTGCCCCGTCATTCCCCTCTGATCCTGGGTCTGAACAAGGTGACTCACAGGCAGCCTGAGTCACCAGGCTTGTCCACCCAGAGAGTGACCAGGGTGGGCTGCCGGCAAAGGCTCGGCCGCCTCTGAGCAATGACACCGTCGGTCACTTGCCCTTCAAAACTGTTCTGAGATACTCACAGCTTTGGCAGGGAGTGTGGATGACAACCCAAGGAGGCTGTGCTAAGGACAGCTGAAACTCCTGTGTCCTCTAGGGTTTTGTCACGCCGACCTGGACCCGCATCGGGCCTTCCCAGTTGGTCTGGTCCAGAGGCAAAGGGATGGCATCGTGGGGGGAAATGCAGCCATGTCAACCACCCCAGAATTCCCAGATGCCCAGCACAGCACTCTTGAGGCTCGGGGTCCCAGTGGACAAGGCAGCAGGGAGGTCACTGCACCACCCAGGAAGGGCCGCCCGTCCCTCTGTGAAGGGACTCCGCGGTGGGTGTGGAGGCCGTTTGCAGGAGGAACCAGAACGTGCAGGGGCAGGCTCCCTTTGCAGGCTGCCAGCAGGTGTGTGTCCCCGTTCAGGTCCTGTGGGTCCCCGCCACCAGATCAACAGGCCCACGGCCACACCTGAGACGAGGGGGTCTCTCTGAGTAGTCGTGCCTTTTCCCGCTTTGCAGAAGGGACCCTGAGGGATCTGGGTGCTCGGTTCTGCTACCTGGTGAATCTGGGCTCACTTCTGGCAGCTCCTGGGGTGCTGGCCACTCGCCGTCCTTTGGGAAAAGTGGGCCAGTGGCCCGTGGGAGGGGTTCATGCAGTAGGCTGGTAGTCTGAGTGACTTCTGGGTTTAGAACCAAATGCATTTAAATTAGCTCAGTTACACTGGTGAGCGTCCTGATGCACGCCTTTCTGACCACCTGCGGGATGTCCCGTGGGCATGTGCTCGTCCAGCTCGCTCCGAACCTTCACAGGGACTCTGCGAAGGCAGCTCACTCCCGCCGGCTGCCTCCCAAGCTGGGGCCGGCCTCAGCCCCCACGGTCCCAAAGCCAGGCGGGGGGGGGAGGGGGGACAGATGTCTGGCAATTCGCCTTCTTCACCTGTCTCCTCACCGCCTGACGTTAGTAAGACAGGTGACTGTGTGTCCGTGACATCCCTTCAGTCGAGATGCAAGGCCCCTCCCACAAGAGGAGCGCAGTGAAAAAGCCCCGCTCACGAGGCTTCTCCATAAACTGCTCTCTCTAAAGAGAGCGTTTGTAATGGGTTCTTTCTTTAAATTTTTTGTTACTCATTCATTTATTTTTTAAATAGCAGCTTATTTTTTGTTGCATTTTTTGTTACGTTTTAACCCCTGTACGTTCCCTCCCCTCCCCCACAATCACCGCCCTGAGGTCCGAGTCCTTTTTCCACTTCACTTGACCCCTCTACCCGCTAACCACCCCCCCCCCCACGTAGCCGTCATCTGCTGTCCATCTGTGAGCCTGTCCCTGTTCGGCTTGTTAGCTCAGTTTGTTCATTAGACCCACGTACACGTGGCACCAGGTGGCAGTTGCCTTTCTCCGACCGGCTTCTTTCACTTAGCGCAGTGTTCTCGGGTCCACCCACGCTGCTGCAAAGGGTAGACTCTTTCCTTTCTTACGGCCGAGCAGTGTGGCGTTGCGTAAACGCCCACAGTTGTTTTCCCCACTTCTCTATACTGATGGACACCGGGCTGCTTCCACATCTGGGCCACTGTGAGTCGCACTGCAGTGACACAGGGGTGCTTGTGTTCTTTCGAATCAGTGTTCTGGGTTCCTTTGGAGAATTCCCAGAAGGGGGGGGGGGAGACTGCTGGGTCGAAAGGCAGACACCTCTTCTTTCAGGGATCATGTCTGTAGTTTGTCCTTGGTTCCTGGCACAGAAACTTGCCGGGTGCCGGCTTTTCCCGCCCCTTTGCGAAGAGGGGAGAACCAAGCCAGGGGGTGTTGCTGGGAACCCCAAGCTGCATGCCGGCACTCTCGCCAGACCTCTGCCCGGAGCCGGCTCCAGCCAGGCGGGCGTCTGCGTGGCCCCCACGCTGCCGCCACTGCCGCCACTATGGACCTGATGGGCCGATGCGGAGGCTGCGTTGTGCACTATCAGAGCTCAGCCGTGCCCCTGGCCTCTCCCTCCAGGAGCCTGGGCTGGTTGTGGCAACTGGAAACATCTCCCTGCAGACCTTACCCAGTGTCCCCCGGGAGGCAGCCTCCCTCTGTGGACGGCGCCCGCCGTAAGGGACGGCAGGGTGACACCGGTGCTCCAGTCTCTCCTGTGCTTTCTTCTCCGGCTTGCGGGCGAGGTCGCCAGGCCAGCCAGCACTGTGCTGGGATGTTCCGCCCCCTCAGGGGTGTGTGGGGGTCCGGAGTTCTGGGGGTTCGAGCCCTTTGCTGTATTGAAGACATTCACACGCTGTCTCCACCGTTTTGATAGAAGACAGACTGGAGATCGTTCGAGGAGGCGCTTTGTGGGCGTATGGGAGTCCTTCACACATTTTTAAGCATATAACTATCCAGCCAGAAGTGGTCGTGATAATTGGACAGATCAACAGAACTTGTTCTTCAGGCCTCATTTTAAAAAGTGAACTTAATCATAACATCTCTTGTTGCTCTTGTGGTTTGTTGCTGAAAATTACATTTCCACAAACAAACAAAAAAAACACCGTAGCCTCCAAAGGCCACAACCAGGTCTTGAAACCCTGCGTTTTTGCCGAGAACCGACCCAGGCTCTTGCCTGGTAAGGTGTCGGCTGTTCTCTTGGTGACGCGAGGAGTCTAAACGAGCTTCACGTGTAGACATGGAGACCAGCTCTCGGGGCTGCGGGTGGGGGTTCTGCCCCTGAGGACACACACACCGGGGTCCTCGTGAGCTCCCGGGAAGCACTGCCCTGACCTGGGAGCCGCCTAGGTCGCCCACGGTGTTCCGGCCCACCCAGTATGGGGAGGGCGGGCACCACCTGGAGGGGCTGCCAGCCATTGATTCCGAGGGAGCAGGCCATCAGCTCGACCGGCCTCCAAGACCACGAAGACCCATGTGCCACACTCGAGGTAAAGCTCGGCCACGACCCACCATTCGACCCCTGGAACTGAGCACCTGGGGGCGCTGAGACTTAAGGGTCTGGGAGGGCCCTTTGCTGTCTGTCAGCTGCAGCCACCCCGCCTGGCCCCAGAGGCCCTGCACCACACACAGCACTTGTCACTCGCAGCAGGAAAGCGGGAAGAGGAGACGTGACATACCTGTAGATTATACAAGCACTGTTCCTGCAGGTGTCGCAGTTCGCAGTGTCTTGCCCAGTCCGATACGAAAGCCTACAAGATAAGAACAGGAGAGCGTTACACGTGGTGGCCGTGGCCTCGGGCCCATGCAGGGCAGACCCCTCACATCCTCGCGTCCTCAGGGCCAGCGCTCGTCACGGTGGCGGGAACGCGTGGACGGGGTGCCCCGGTCTGCTCCGCCTCTGTGCTTGTACCCCCAGTGCGTCAGCTACAGCTCGGACGATATTTAAATTAAATTTGGAATGTGAGCACAAGCCCCGGGATGAAGTCAGTAATCTGGTTTTGTGATCAGCAGAGGCACCGGGGGATGTTTCTGAGCAGCTTTACATTTACGGTGCTTGACGGAGACGTGGAAGGAGGGCCACGCGGCTCCGTGGGTTCCAGCCCTGGCTCTGCCCTGCTGCCCCCCGGGCTCCTGGAAGGGGGGTCTGCAAGCTGCCGCCCACAGGCCCAGCCCCTCTCTGGTTTTGCCCAGCGAGCTAAGGACAGGATTTATGTTTTTAAATGACTTAAAAAAAAAACATCAAAAGAATAGTAATATATGGAGCACATGAAAATCAGTTTGTGTCCATACGTGAAATTTTAAGATAATAAAAATTACGTAAAACTTCTGTGTGAGAAGTTACTATTCTTGGTTCGCAAACCCCAGACCATTCCCGCTGGCGCTGCGGAGCGTAGCCCTGGGGCCAGGCGGGTGCTGCCGGCTGCTCCAGGCTCCGAGAAGGCCCTCCTGGGGTGGGGGAGGCTGGCTCTCCTCTTGCCACAAAAAGTTACAGGTCTTTATTGGGAGTATATTGTGGAAGGTTTGTAAACTTAAAGGCTTGGTGACCAGGATTTTCCTGGCCAGGCCGTGACTCTCTCTCAGCATGGTTACCCCAAGAAGCTAGTATGGGGGTGCATTCCTAGAGTCGCTCCTAACCACATAGGCTGGCCTTTCCTCTCTGACATTTTTGATATGCTGGTCTGTTTCTTCTGAATGTTAGTTACTCAGCGCCCAGGGACAGATGTGAAGACCAGAATCGGTTAAATGTGTGGCAGAAGAAGCTTGCCTCTGATTGGCTTATCCACACTGTGGGGGCAGAGCCCTGTTTATGGAGTCGCTCCGCAGGGTGACAGTGCCCGCGGACGGCTCTCTGCCCCCACAGACCCTCAGTGTTCCCTCGCCCTCCCGTGCGTCACGGGCTCTGAATTGAAAGTAGCTGTTGTTTTCCTCTTATAGTTCATGTTACATAAACATTGGACAGAGGGTTTTTTGCTCCAGGCCTCGCTGTCCCAGTGAGCTCTGCGCACTGGGGCTCGACCCTCCAGTGCTGGGCCTCTTATTTATTGGTCAAGCGTCCGTGTTCTGCCTCGGGTCACCTGTCATTACCAGTGGCCCATCCTAGTTGAGCCAGAGTTGCAGTGTGGTGGCGTCTGTGCTGACCTTCATCCACCATCACTTGCCTTTGGGGGCACTCTGAGACCTGCCCTTGGCCTTTTCCTCTCCCCTTGACTTTGTTGGGGGGGGCTCTGGAGGGTCCCATGTGTCACCCCCCTTCACAGCAAGCCCCAGGGGTCCATTTCTCCCAACCCTCCCACCGGACTCCCAACGTGTGGCACCGACACCCGAGTTCCTTCTGTGGCGACATTGACCTTCCGAGTCCCCCAGGCCTCCTGCCTAGTCTCCCCAGTGCCTCCTCTGTGCAGCTCGCTCTCCTGGTACTGGGCCCTAGCTCGCTGCTGACCAAGGTCACGCTGTGCAGTGAAACGAGCACAGGGCTGGAGCCTGTGTCCGAGCAGTGACACGTGGGATGTGACTCTGTGGTCACACCGCTCGGCTGGGCTGCCGGTGAGGGAGGGACTGCCCCACAGCTGTGTGCCCACCCCCTGCCAGGGAGGGGACACATGACAGCTGTCTTGGGACAACTCCAAATCTCAGGCTTTCAAAAGGAAATGGGCAAAATCAGGGCAGGGGTCACTCAACCCCCGCTCTGAGGGCACAGACCCTCCCTGTCCTAGACCCTGGGACAGATGCCGTCAAGCCTTATCAGCCCCAACACCCCTTTCTTGCCTGTGTTGTTGGGTTGACTGTGCTCCCCTCATTCTGCAGAGGCGGGGGGGGGGGCAGAACAGTCAGTTCCGGTCTCCTGTTCTGAGACCCCAGGCCTCTGCCTCCGCACACTTTGGGACTGGTGTTCTGCTCTAGTGTGACGGCAGCGTGGGACCATCAACCCCACGGTGCCCGGCCCAGGCTTCTGGCACTGGACATGCACAGGACCCTCTCCCAGGACCTGGGGGGTCTCCCATTGGAGACTGCTCTTCTAAAGACCTCCTGAAAAGACTCTATTCTTCTTTCCTTACAAAAAGCAAACTGTTTGTAACTGCTTATAGGCATCAGGCATTATTCTGGCTGCTGAGGAGACTTTTTTGGACAAAGGGGAGCCGCCATCCTCACAAAGCTGACGGTGGAGCAATGGAGGGTTCCATTTGATGGCGGCGCATGTCAGGGAAGGGTTGCGAAGGCAGGTTGCTGGAAATAAGCCCTGATGATAGTGAAGAAGCAGTGAGTCATCTGGTGACCCAGGGCTGAGGGTTGCATGTGGAAGGAGCCCCCCCCCCCCCATTGGAGGACAGAATAGAGGGCCTGTGTGGCTGGGGCGGACGGAGCAGATGGCAGGGGACGGTGTGCAGGCGACGCACTACAGGAAGCCCCTGGGGTGTCGTTCAAGATGTCATGGAAAACCACTGGAGAGTTTTCCTACCAATGCTTGAAAGAATGGCGAGGAACGCCTTTCCTCTCCCTGGCCCCTCTCAGCCCGGCCCTTCTCCGGCACTGCTGCTTCCACCTCCCTTCTCACATCTTGTATTTCCAACCCTGCCTCCCTCACGGGACCCCCAGGTACCGCAGAGTGTGGCCGATGTCTGTGGAGAAGGAGCACACGAGTCCCTCTCTGCCTTATGTAGAGGTGTATCTGTGGTCACTCTTTCATCAGCTAATTTAAAAGACAAGCTGGCGGTCAGCCACATTTCCCTCAGGTCTGGATGTTTCTAGAATCACACTGCCATGGACTTTTCCTGGAGGGGCCCTTCAGCACGGTTCTCAGGTTCTGAGCGGCCCTTTCTTTAGTTAGAAGGATCCAGGTGCTCAGAGCCAACAGACAGAGGTCACCTAGACATTGATTTGGGGGTAAGAGTTAGGGGTGCCGCGGTCCCACGCTGTCTTGGCAGTTCACGTCCGCCAGGGTGCGCCTGCCCAGCTTCCATTTAGCCACGAGGGCATTCTCGTCCGTCTGGCTGCCCTTGGAGCGTCCAGGCTGTGGGGTTTGGCTCTGCTGATGACTTTATGGTCACATTAATAATTGTGTTGCGGCATCTGAATGGATGTGTTTTCCAAATATAGATGAAGCAGAGGAGTTGTTTCCACACCACGGGGAACACAAAGTGCTGTACGGATTTCCTCTGTTTTTTTTTTTTTTTTTCCTCCCTCAGTTGGAAACAAGTCAGAAAAACAATAATCGAAATGATGATCTTTCTCGATCGCTGTCGTCCCCAAGAGGAGTAAGAACTTAGAGCAGGTGCCCCTCCCAGGGCAGCGGGGCTGCGGTCTGGGCAGTGGGGGGTCGGGAGCAGAGCTCGGGCTCTTGGTGCAAAGGCTGCAGTGGTAGCGAGTCCCAATCAAAGATAAGCTTTCGTCCTGCAAATTAATTGCTCCGTTGGTAAATCTCCCTTCCCTTCTGACTTGCGGAGCTTATTATCTTACAAAGGTTTACGGTCGTGTGCCTGTCACAATGCCTGGTGCACCCTGGGCGTTTGGTGAATATTAATTTGACCAAATAATACAATCCTTGTGTTTTTGTATTGAAGCTCGGTAAGAGACAAATCTAATGAAAAAATTTTTCGAGTGCAAAAAGCAATGGGAAGTGTAGATTGTGCAAAGCTCTGGAACCCCTTTGGTCCCAGCGACAGGCACGTCCACTGCAAACAGGGACTGTTGCAGCGGGTTCTTTGAAGCGCTCGCTGCTTCTCATCCGCCCCCCCACCCCCACCCTTGGTTGCCCTTTGCCAGGATTGTCTGGTCTCAGCAGGTCTGTCACTTGAAACGCAGCATTCAGCACCAAGGACAGCGCCAAAAGTCCAAGGTGCTCTTTTCCGTACTTTTCGTGTCTTTCCTTGACTCTTCTGTCCCCCACCCCACCCCTCAGAACACAGTTCCGACCCGAGGACCACCCCTCACGGAGCGTCCCTGCGGACACACAGTGGTCTTGGTGGGCTTCATTGGAAGGAAGGGAGCCTGGGCTGGGGGCTTTGGAAGAAGGAGAGGTGGAAGCTGAGTACAGGAGGGGGCGTGTTACTGCAGATTCCTTGAAGCGGGAGGCTTTGCACCAGCTACTTTTACAAGATGGGCTTAGTGGACCCAGGTGTTAACGTCACCTCCACCTCGGCAGAGGCAGATTTCTTCTTGATCCACTTCAGAGATGGTATGACAAGGGTCGTTTACGGAAGCTGGTGTGGGGCTCTAGCCAGGGCCACCCCCTCAAAGGAAACTTCGGGGGCCCTTTTCTTTAGCGTCCTGGACTTCTCAAGTTCAGTTTTGCACCAGCCCACCGGTGTCTCTGTCTCCTGCTTTGTGATTGTCATCATCAAAGTCTCCTGAATATAAAAAGCCACATTTGCATGTTTATTAGAAAATCACAGCACTGGGGTCAGTGCTGGGAGTGCAAGTCCTTAGTCAGGACCCACAGCGAAGGATGCAGTCCGGAGTGGGACGGAAAGACCAAAAAAACAACAGCAAAGATGGGAAGGCACACAGCCGAGCTGGGGTCGCCACTTCCATGACAAAGCCACAGGACTGAGAGAGGAGAGAGGCCAGCGGCCAGCTCCAGCCTGAGTCCTGCCTGTCTGTGTCCTGGAGTGAGCTCAGGGGCTGGAGGGCGGGGCCAAAAGTGACCGAGTGCGCCTGCCTTTCCTGACTGCGTCACAGGGAGCTCTGAGGTGGATGGGCCCCAGGTGGCCGGACAGGGGCTGAGCAAAGCCAGGGACAGGTCGCCAAAAGC